TAATGGCAATTACAGAGATTTAGAAGATAACAGTTATTTTTTTCCTGCATGGAGCCTGTGAAAGAAAATCAGGGGCATTAACATATCAACACAGGGCCTTGTGGGGGCAAGTAAGCTTTGGGGAACGTGGAGAAGTGACTGCCTTCCTCGTTAGATAGAGAGTAAGTGAAATAAGCTTAAAAGTATTTCTTAAAGTACATTGTAATATGTACTTGTTCTGTATAAACTGGATGAGAAGCTTAAAAGTGGGAATTGGGAATAATTTGGATGGAGGTTATATTGAAAGGTTTGGTAGCTCATTCAGATAGGCAGATGAGATATCCTTAGAATTTATGACTGGACAGAGCATTCCAGTATACTACACTTGACTGCGGAATATGTAAACTGAAAATATCAAAATTAAACCATATGATTCCACCTTAGGAAAAGGAATTGTGATTGGGAGTAGATTACCTTGGCTTCGTGTTTCAAGGTAGTAAAGTGCAAGGCTAACATTTTAGCAAATTAGAAAGATTTAAGCAGTGCTCCAAAATATTTAAATCTCTTGAGGATTTGCTAAGATACAGTTTTGAAGTAAGGCATCAGCTTGCAGTGTGGTTGTAGATTTCTAATTGATGCAGTAGCAACTAGTTCATTAATCTTTAAATTCTGTTGAATGCCTACCACACTTGTGGCTTAAAAATTAAAATAGAAGCATTCTACTGAAAATGTCAAGTAAACTGGGAGTTTGCCAACCTGAGCCCCTTTTACGGTTTTGATATGTATTTGGGTTCACTTGTCAGATGCTGAAAAAGGATTAGCATGCTAGAAATTTATTGGGAGAAAGACCTTTGAAGGAGAGAGTGAAAGAAAGGGTTGGGTAGGAATTTGAAGAAAGGTGTCATCAGTCCCAGTAGTTGTACTCAAGCCAAAACTGCTATTGTAGGAGTCCCATGTTTCATGGAAATAGGCTTGCATTTGTACTCTTCCCATCTCACTCATTGGAAGTGTGGCTTCAAGGCAAAGTGCATTGGAAGAAGCAACTACTTGGGGCCATTGGTCAATTAGGCTTTCTTCAGACGTGAGCAGTGCATTTCATGGCCAGCACAGTTAGAATTTGGTAATTTGAACTCTTGGAAGCTTTGGGGTCAAGGGCAGGAAGTGCTGATTTTGGACAACCAGTGAGATTTAATTCTTCCAAAAAGCCAACATAAACTAAAAGTACCTGCTGTGTTTATTGTGCCAGTTAAGTAGATGTGATCAGTACACTCAGGGTAGTCAGGGATAGAACCATGTAAATGTATTGACTATGTTATTATTAAACTACAAAGTATGTACAGAAGGAGAAATACTTTGGGAGGTGTCTTCAAAAAAAGGAAATGGCACAAAGATATTATTAGTGCAGAAAGCATTTGAGGAGCCATTCAAACTGAATGATGGGAAAGGAAACCTAGAAAACTAAGAAATGCCACGTTACGAAATCTTTTTACTAGACTGAGGATTTTAGGCTTAGTATTGTCCTTGTAATACAGGTGTCATGAAAAAACTTGATTCACAGAAATGACCAGATTAATCTTTCAGATCCCAGTGTTAGCCCAGCATAAACTGGAGAGAAAATCAGGCTCTTCAGTCTCAAATTGGGATTTCTAAGCACTGAAATAGAGCAGATTCCATAAACTGGTAGGATTTCAAAAGCAGTTGATTGTGGAGGGTTGGCACCAAGTATAACCTGTTCCTGGCTTTGGTGGCTAGATGGGTAATGGTGCTTTTGCAAAGTTGGGGAACCAGGAAATGGGTTTGGGAGAGAAACAAGAGTTTGTGGATAGTGTAGGATGTTAAGCTGGACGTGTTCAGGAAGAGGAAGGTAGGTGGTTTTTTCAGGTCTGGTTTAGGCATACAATCTCAATGTCCATCACCATTGTAGGCGTTCATTGTGTGCTCTGAGTGGGATAGATGGTAGGTGAGCAATAGGGGTGGATAAATGAAGTGGGAAGCACTTGAGCAAAGCAGGGGGCGGTTGAGACACCGTAGAATAACCTGAATAATTTGTGTGATGGCAAATGAGCTTCAAGTGCAAATATATGCTTTCAACTGAGAAGATGCAGCACTTGTAAATAAGGGTGCATTATGTTCTTTCTGTTCCCATAGCGAAGTTAAGTCAGTCAAAGGTACTCCTCAAACCAAAATTGGCCCTTGGAAGAGTCCCATGGTTTACAGAAACAGGCTTGCATGGCAGGCATCTTGTCCACTATGTCATTGAAAAAACCTCCCAGCATGACACTACTGTTAGAGCCAGGAGCTTGAGATGACAGGTTACATTGTTCACAATCAGCAATTTCTTTTGGGTCCTGTAGTGGAAGAGCAAGTTTCCTAAGTTACAAATTTGGTTCGGAATCCCAACTTCCACAGTTGTGGGATGTTGGACACATTATATTTACCCAAGTCTTTACTCGTAAAATGGTACCCTAGTAGCATTTGAGTATATAATCTTAAACAGATTGTAAATTCTTGAGGGTTTACTTTCTTTCCTACCGCTACATTTCCTAGTACAATATTTAATTCTCGTAGAATGACAGTTCCAGCTCAGTGTTTTGCAGTTCTTAGTTTTAATTCTTTGTTTCATGAGCCACAAGGGGATCTGTCCCAATTTTCAATTTTTCCGGTTTCTCGGGGCTCAATTTTGAAGGTAGTTTCCTTAGAGGCCAGGGTCCACCTGATCTCATTGGATACAGTGGCAATTCTAGATCAGATAGAAGCTAAAGGGTGGAGTTGAGTAAAATAGTAAGGGACCCATAGATTTCATAGGAAATGACGTTAAGAAATGGGCCTAAAGGTGACTCAGGACAAGAAGTAAATGAAAATTATGTTCTACTCACCTTTCATACACAGGACTATACCATAAAAGATTTTACAGCTGTTTGTCCATCTAAACATCTGGTACCTAGCAGGTGCACATCTGTTTGGTAAATAACTGAATTAAAAGATGAAAACTGCCCAAGACCTCCACATACCACCATCCGTCTACCATCAACTCCCGTATGCCTTTCTCCCACAACCCAACTCACGTGGGCCACTAAACAACATTTATTGGCCGGCTTCGCGCAATGAGACGCGATGGACGTGATCGCTGTCCTCATCCGCTGTGAACTTCTTGCGGATGACGCTAGCCAATCGAGAACCGTCTCTCCGTTGGCATGTCCCTCCACCTGCCCCAAGCGGCGAGGGGGCGGGGCTGGCGCCTGGCGCGGAAGCGTCACGTACTCCATGGTAACGACGCTCGGCCCGAAGATGGCGGCCGAGTGGGGTGGAGGAGCAGGTCACTTGGGTTCAGGGCCGGGCCGGAGCCGGTGGCGCTGGAGCAGTTCTTTTTGGGTCCAAGCCTTTTTACTCCTGTTGGAAGGGCTCCGGGGAAGCGCCGAATCTGTTCCTGTCTCCTTGGGCAGCTCCCCTCCCTGCCGGCACCACGTCCACTCTGACACTGAGGTAGGGCGAGCGAGGGGCGGGAGCGGGCCCTCTGAGGGTAAAGTAATGCGGAAGGAGCTGGCGCAGGGGATAGTGAGTGGAAGAAGGTGTTCAGGAGGAGAAAGCGAAATTGAGACCTTCTTTCGGCTGCCTACGCCCTGCAGAGTGGCTGAGTTAGGCACTCAGAACATCATCACTTTCCGGTGCGAAGGGTTGTGCTTAGCAGGTAGCCATAGATCAGTGGTTTTCAAACTTGAGCGTGCGTCAGTCACCTAAAGCATTTGTTGAAGGATTGCTGCCCCACTTCCCTACTTTCTGACTCAATAAGGTGAGTCCCCAGAATTGGCAATTCAGGTTCCCAGAAGGTTGGTGATGCTGGTTGTCCGAGGACCACTTTGAAAATCACTGACCTAAAGTTTTGGGAAGAAATTGATAGGAGAGCCAGACAAAGGCGTTGGAAGGATGTTGGGGGTTCCCCGGAGACAAAATTCACGTTTATTTTCAAGTTATTTCATCACTTTGCTTGCTTTATCCTGTTCCTTTGCCCTGGAAGTGCCTGCCTGCTTCCCACCCCATTTTCTTCCTGTCTGTTCTTTTAGCCTTATTTCAAGTTCCCCAACCTCAAGGCAGCCTGCCGAAATCACCCCAACAGAATGTTCTTTCTGTTTCACAGTACGTTTTCTCTGTACTCTCTTCTGGCTCTTAACCAACTACTACTACGTGATATTTTTCAGGCATGTCTTGCCTTTGTAGTTAAATTGTAAGGTCTTTTGAGATAAGGTTTTTGTGTTATACTTTGATTCTGCCACAGTAATGGTAATTTCCAAAAATGTTACTTGCATACTGTTCATAACCATGTGAGCCAAAATACTAAGTTTGGGGTTTGTAGCTTTATTACAGTTTTTATCATGACACTGCATTTTGGCAGAATTCTTTTTTTAAAAAAATCCCACGACGCCCACAGAACCCTGCACTTCCCTTTTTGAATTTGGGTTAAAATAAGAGAAAGTAGTTAAAACAACTGCAAAATTTCTGTGCTCGTAGGAACTGTAGTAGCTGTTTCTTTCTAGTGGTTGTTGCCAGTGTACAAATCTCCAACTTGTATTTGAACGTCTCCATGGATAGGGAAATTTTTAAGTCCAGAAGCAACCCCTTTGCATGACCATTGTTCTTTTTATGGAGCTGAAAACTCTTCCCGAAACTTCCACCCACTTTTTCTGTTTATGCCTCTTGGCTGTACAAATGCAATAGTGGTAGTGCTTAGATAGTAAAACAAAGTTGAGAGTCATCATGACTAATACATTTTCTTAGTTTTTCATAGAGTATGTACTACTAAGTCATCCTTACCATTCTCCTTGCTTTATTTCTGTGCCACCCCCCTCCCCCAATTCCCTGCTTGTCCCACCGTTCTCCTTCCTTTAACCTGGACACAGAGCATAGGCAGGAACTATTAATACAGTATTCATTGCACTCATACCAGTGACGACACCTCTGTTCAATGCTAAAGGAAATTACAGTAACTTTTTTTTTTTTTGGTAATGGCAACTACAAAAAACACTTTGACTTGTTTAACTTGTTCTCAGCTAAAACCTGTAAGTTTTGTTTTGTTTTACTTTTTATTATGTCAACTCAAAGAAAACCTGAATAATGTATTGAACACCCATGGACCCATCACCTAGCTTTAACACTTATCAACATTTTGCCATTTTTGTTTCATAGTCTTCCAGCCATTCCTTATCCACCCACACAAGTTGTTATTTTTTTAAAAATTTTTTGGTAAAATTTACATATATCAAAATGCCACAAATACATCCATGCAAAATAGATCATTTCTATTTCTCCAGAAAGTTCCCTCCTGTCCTGTGCCAGTCAGTGTCTCTTATCGACCCCAGACAACTACTGTTCTAATTTTTTTAACGATAGATTAGTTTTGCCAGTTCTAAAGCTTAGTTTATATGACTAGAATGATGTGGTATGTACTCCTCTGTGTCTGACTTCTGCTTAGCATTATGTATTTGAGATTTGCATTGTTTTATGTAATGGTAGTTCATTCCTTTTCATTGCTGAGTATTCCATATACTGAATACCTGTATCATAATTTGTTTTTCCATTGTCTTGTTGATGGACATTTCAATTGTTTCCAGGTTTTAACTGTCATAACTAAAGCTGCTATGAACATTCTTGTACACGAGTTTTTAGGAGTATATGTTTTCATTGCTCTTGACAAATACCTAGAGGTGCAATTGCTGAGTCAAAAGATAGGTGAATATTTAACTTTATAAAAAACTACTAAACCTTTCTCCAAAGTATTGTACCATTTTATTATTCATCCCCACCAGCAATGAGTTATTAGAGTTGTGGTTGCTGCTTATCCTCACCAACAGATGTCCTTTCTAATAAATCTTTGCCTAATCCTTTGGTCCTAAAATATTCTCCAGTATTCTAGAAGCTTTCACTTTTAAGACTGTGATTCATCTCAAATTAATTTTTATATATGGTGTGAGGTAGGGCAATCAAGATCCTTTTTTTTTTTCCTCCCCCATATGGATATTCAGTTGTTCTCACATGATTTATTGAAAAGACTTTCCTCATTGACTAGCTTTGGCACCTTTATCAAAAATCAGTTGATGGTATGAACAAGAATCTATTTCTGGACTCTCTGTTCCATTAATGTTTTAGTCTATCTTTATGCCAATACCACACTGTCTTGATTATGTACCTGTGTAATCTTAAAATCAGGTAGTGTTGTAAGTTTTCCTGCTTCATTCTTTTTCAAAATGATTTTGACTGTTTTAGGTCCTTTGTATTTCCATATGAATTTTAGAATCAATTTCTCACTTTTCTTCAAAAAAGCCTGATGGATTTATGATTGGGATTGCATGGACTCTATAGATCAGTTTGGGGATAATTAACATTTAATAATATTGAGTCTTTCAATCCATGAACATGATATGTTTCTCCATTTATTTAGGTGGTACATAATTTCTCTCAGCAATCTATAGATCTTGCATGTTTATTGTTAAATTTATTCCTTAGCATTTTATTTTTTGATGCTTTTGTAAATGAAATACTTCTTAAAGTTTTCCAATTGTTTGCTGCTTGTATGAAAAAAGTACACTTAATTTTTGTGTATTATTAACTCCTTGTCTTCTGAGACCTAGCTAAACTCGTTTATTAATTCCTGTGGGATTTTCCCCCTTAGAGTTTTCAGTGTAAGCAATGTATTAATTATAAATAGAAACAATTTTTTTGTTATGCCTTTTATGTATTTTTGTTTTCTTACACTTTCTCTACCTATTGTTCTATTTAAGGTCAAACACAAGTGAAACAGTAGATATCCTTGCCTTTTGTTCCTGATCTTAAAATCAGTCTTTGACCATTAAGTATGGTGTTAACTCTAGATATTTTTATGATTGTTTATCAGATTGAGAAATCTCCTTTCTATTTCCTGTTTACTAAAGGTTTTTATCCTGAATGGGGACAAATTTTGTCAAATGCTTTTTTTTGGTGATTATTGAGAAAATCGTATGGTTTCTCTCTTTATGAACTGTTATATGGTAGATTACATTGAATTTTCCAATAGTAAATCAACCTTGCATTTTTGGGATAAACCCTGCTTGGTGATGATGTATTATCCTTTTTATACACTGCTGGGTTAAATTTGCTAATATATTGTTAAGGATTTCTGCATCTATGTTTATGGGTGATGTTGATTTATAATATCCTTTTTTAATGAAGTTTTTGTCAGCTTTTGGTATCAGAATTATACTGGCCATACATAGTAAGTTGAGAAGTGTTCTGCTCGCTTCTGTTTTCTAAAAGGGGTGATACAAGATATCATTTCTTCCTTCAACGTTTGGCATAATTCATAAGTGAAGTCCTCTGGGCCTGGAGTTCTCTTTGTAGAGAGATATTTTCTTTTGTTAATAGCTTTATCGATCTATAATTTATACATCATAAAGTTCACTCATTTTAAATGTTCACTTTAATGATTTTTAATAAATTTGTAGAGTTGTGTAGCCATCACCACAGTCCAGTTGTAGAACATTTCCATCACCCAAAAAGATTCCTTGTGCCCATTTATAGTCAATCTCTCTTATCACCTCTATCCCCAGGCAACCAGATAAATCCAGTTTCTCTTATATAAGTCTATTCATATTTTCCGTGTGATCTTGTGGTAGTCTTGGTAACTTGTGTTTTTCAAAGACTTTGTTTATTTCATCTGAATTGTTGAATTTATTAGCATAAATTTGTTCATAATAATTCCTTATTATCCTCTTGATGTTTGTAAGATCTATAGTGATAGCTGTTCTTTTATTTCTAATGTGATAACTTGTGTTTATTCTGTTTTATCCTAGTCCAGTCTTGCTAGGAGTTTATAAATTTTGTTAATCATTTTAAATAACCAACTAACCACCCATTGGCTTTGGTAATTTTCTCTAATGTTTGTTTCTATTTCATTGTTTTCTGTTCTCTCTTATTTCTTCTTTTTACTTATCGTGGATTTGCTTTGCTCGTATTGTTTGGTGGAAACTTAGATCATTGTTTTTGAACCTTTTTTTCCCTTTCCAATATAAATATTCAAAGTTAGAGATTTCTCTTTAAGTACAACTTCAGTTGTTCCCCACAGATTTTGACAGATTGCATTTTAATCATCATTTAGTTCAAAATGTTTTTTATTTTCCCTGGTAATTTCTTTTTTGAACCATGAGTTTTTAAAAATGTTAAAAATATAATTTATAAATATTTGATCCTTTTTCTAGATATTTTATTATTGGTTTCTAATTTAATTAGACTGTCTTCTATAAGATTTCAGTCTTTTAAAATTCATTGAGATTATTTTATTTAAAGTCTAGAATATCTATCCTGTTTAATTTTTTAGGTGTACTTGTAAAGAATATAGATTCTATAGTTACTGAGTATAGATTTCTATACATGTCAATAAGCTTAGGTGATTGGTATTGTACTTCAGATTTTTCTATATTCTTAAAAATTTTTGCCTAATTGTTAGGATCTTAAAAATCTCTAAGTTTGTAGATTTGTTAGTAATTTCCTTTACTTTTGTCAGTTTTTGCTTTATAGATTTTGAATCTCTTTTATTAGGTGCATTCACACTTATAATTGTTACAGATTTCTGATGACGTAGCCCTTTAGTAGTATAAAATGTTACTGTTTATATCTGATAATACTCCTTATTTTTAAGTCTATTTTGTCTGAGAGTAATATAGCCATTTCAGCTTGCTTATGATTAGAGCTTACATGGTATATATCTTTTCATCCATTTACATTTATCTCTGTGTGTGTGTGCTTGCATACTTCAGGTATTAAAACAAATATCTTTGGTTTACTACCTCTATTTATTGTTAATATTGCTTTATCACACTGGCTGGGAACTCCAATATGATGTTGAATAAAGTGGTGAGAGTAGATATCCTTGCTTCCAGGGTAACTAGGATTGCAGGCATGCACTACCACGCCTGGCTAATTTTTTAAATTTTCTTGTAGAGACAAGGTCTTGCTATCTTGCCCAGGCTAGTCTCAAACTCCTGGGCTTAAGAGATCCTCCTGCTTCAGCCTCCCAAAGTGCTAGGATTACAGCATAAGCCACTGCACCCAGCTAATTTCAAATGCGTTTTCTGTCCCATTATTTCTCCTGTCCTGGTAGGACTCTAATTACATATCTGTTAGGCTGCTTGGAATTGTCCCCTCATTCTCTGAGGCTTTGTTTATGTTTTTAGTCTTTTTCTTTTCTATTCTTTGGTTTGGATAAATACTCTTGATTTATCTTCACATTCGCTGATGCTTCTACCGTCTCCAGTCACTCTCAATCCTTTCCAGTGAATTTTTCATTTTAGTTGTACTTTTGAGCTCTAAAATTTTCATTTGATTTTTTTTTTTTTTTTTTTTTTAGGCAAAGTCTCACTCTGTTGCCCTGGCTAGAGTGAGTGCCATGGCGTTAGCCTAGCTCACAGTAACCTCAAACTCCTGGGCTCAAGCAATCCTACTGCCTCAGCCTCCCGAGTAGCTGGGACTACAGGCATGCCCCACCATGCCTGGCTAATTTTTTGTGTATATTTTTAGTTGTCCAATTAATTTCTTTCTATTTTTAGTAGAGACAGGGTCTCGCTCTTGCTCAGGCTGGTCTCGAACTCCTGAGCTCAAACAATCCGCCCGCCTTGGCCTACCAGAGTGCTAGGATTACAGGCGTGAGCCAGCGCCCGGCCTTCATTTGATTTTTTTTCATAGTTTTCTCTGCTGAGGTTGCCCATCTACTTATTCATTATTTATGTGTTTTCCCTTAAGTCCCTAAATACATTTAAGCTGAATTAAAGTAATTGTTTAAATTCAAGTCATCTTATTAGGATCCTTCTATTCATTGCTTTTTTTCCTTCAATATGGGTCACATTTTTCTGTTTTGTTCTCATGGCTGCTGATTTTTTAATTAAATAATGGACACTATGAACAATACATGATAAAGACTCTGGATTCTGTTGTGTTTCTCTAAAGAATGGGTTTTTTCCTAGCTGGCAGTTAACTTGGGTATACTAAAAATCCCAAACTCCATGTCTTCTGTGGTAAGCAACAGTTGATAACTTTCTCACTTCTTTTAGTTTTCTGCTATTTTTTGCTAGATTTTATCTCATATATATATTTAATTTAGTAGTCAGCCAAGGAATTTAGTGATCAGATAAGGATTTGAGTGGATTTCATATGCTGATTTTTGGGTACCCTCTGTGGCTTCTTCTCTTGCGGGACTCCCTTCCTCCCTTTCTTGTGCTGCAAGCTCTGAACACTGTGCTGTAACTCCTCAAGCCAGTTAGGCTCTCACTTTCTGCCAAGAGACACAGATTGGGGAGTGCTCTCAGGCAAAAAAAGTTAGACTCAGAAGTATAATTCCTATATTCCAAGGGTAGACTTTTCTAGGTTCTGCCTGGGTTTTTGGTGTGTTTTCTTTTTCTAAGTAGTATTCTGTTAAAATATTTTGTCTAGATTTTATAATGTTTTATCTGTAGGGAGATTAGTCATATGAAGCTACTTTGCCATTAGGAAAAGTTCCTAATGTCTGTTTTTACATGTTATTGCTAAGCTTTATATCCTTGATTCTGTACTTTTGCATATAGTCTAGTGTATCTAAATTCATAGACATATTAATCCCTATTTCATTCCTTAAGTCTTTTCTCAAATATCACCTTCTCCCTGAAGCATCCCTTTATAATATTCCTCTAAGCCTGACTTATCTTTCTCTTCTGTGATATTTATTTATTTTATTGTAATAATTATTGGATTTATTTGTCCTTTATTAACCTTGATCTCCTAAGGTCAAGGACTGTATGTTTTGTTTTGTTTTTTAATTTTTTTTTTCTAAGCCATTATAATCACATCAAAGGACTGTATGTTTTATATTTGCATCCAAAGGCTTATCACAGGGCCTTACATGGGAAGACATT